GTGCCATTGGCTTTTTTGATGGCTTCGTCACACTGCCGACTCATGTTCATCTTGGAGTCCACTAGGACTCCAAGATCCCTTTCCACTTCCGTGCCACCCAGCAGGTCATTCCCTAGGCTGTAGGTGTGCTGGACATTTTTCCTCCCTAGGTGCAGCACTTTGCATTTCTCCTTGTTGAATTGCATTCTGTTGTTTTCCGCCCATATGTCCAACCTGTCCGGGTCTGCTTGTAGTTGTTCCCTGCCCTCCGGCGTGTCCACTTCTCCCCACAGTTTTGTGTCATCTGCGAACTTGGACAGACTACACTTCACTCCCTCGTCCAAGTCGCTGATGAAGATATTGAAGAGTATCGGTCCAAGGACCGAGCCCTGCGGGACCCCACTGCCCACACCCTTCCAGGTCGATACCGACCCATCCACCACGACTCTCTGGGTGCGACCCTCTAGCCAATTCGCCACCCACTGGACTGTGTAGTCATCCAAGTCACAGCCTCTTAACTTGTTCACCAGTATGGGGTGGGATACCGTATCGAAGGCCTTCCTGAAGTCTAAGTATACGACATGCACCCCTACTCCTGTGTCCAGGTGTTTCGTAACCTGGTCATAAAAAGAGACTAGATTAGTCAGGCATGATCTGCCTGCTACGAACCCGTGCTGGTTTCCCCTCAGCATAACTTGTCTTGCCAGGCTTTCGCAAATGTTTTTTTGGTTTTGTTGCACAGTTCTGCAGACAATGATGCAAAATTATCGTCTAATATTAACAATTAGGTTTTGATGTGTAGGTCAGGATAAAACCTTATTAAATTACAGGTAGTGAAGTGGGTCACTTCAGGAAGGGAAAGAAATCAGACTTGGGAGAGCCTAAGCATGTGTTCAGGGCCTCAGTGAGCCATCTACTCTACAAATTTTGTGAGCTCAGGCATGTGCGGAGTGGGTGTGGGTGAGGCTTATTTCCGGGAGGTGTATCCAGACTTGCTCAAGGGATGGTATAGACCAATGGTGCTTAACATTTTGGGCCTGTGTGCAGCCAACCTGTGGGCTGGATTAGGCCCCATCCTACTAGAGTTGCACCAGTACGTCGGTCCACATCGTATTGGCACTGATAAAAAGAAAATTGATATTATCAGCAATCGGCTTTTTTTTTTTTTTTGGCTGATGTGTGGCCAGTAATGTTGCTGATAAGTCCCATGTGCATGTGTGCAGCTTGCACACAGCCCGGCAACTTGGAGAGCAGCATCAGGCTGGTAAGTGTGTTGGGCGGAAGGGCTGAGCGGGGTGTGACAGGCAGCGACAGCACTGGAAAGGGTGGGGCTATGGGGTGCTAGAGCCACCTCAAAATTTGCCATAGCCCTCCCTTCCCAGCACCGCCATCTGCCCTGCCCCTGCCCCACTCTGCCTGAGCACAGCTGCTGGGAAGAGGCTGGAGCAGCCCTGGCCCTGAGCACGGAGCAGGCTACCCACCCTCATCCCATGCACAGATCCAGGGGAGCACATGCCCCCCATGCCTCCCCTGGGTGTGCATGCAGTGGTGGGAGCCACCCCCTGTGCCCCTGGACAAGCCACCAGCTCCATCCTGCGCCCCATTCCATCGTGGCTGGGCAGCACCTGCCCCAGCCCCACTCCCTCCCTCACCGAAGGGCCTCAGTCTGCATCCCCCATGCCCCTTCCCCCTCCCCCATTCAGTGCCTCGTCCCCCCTCGAGATTTACCAGCCAGATGCTGCTCTCCAAGCTGTCGGGCTGCATATCGGCAATCAGATCGGTATCAGCAATGTGGCTGGCCAATAATTGGCCATCACTATTGACCTAAAAATCTTTATTGACGTACCCCTATATACTACCTCTGTCTGACCCTGTACACCCGGATCGGGACCATGCCACCCTGGTCCCACAAGCTTGCCTCAGATCTGGAAGTTTGGCAGCACAGAAGTGGCAGTTAACATTACCACTGCTCCCTTGCTACCAAATTGAAATCCCTGAAATACAAAGGAGTATTTGATCTTTCCTGAACTCAGTCCATTTCTTTTTAAAATATGATTGCAATTTTTAAAATGTAGGCCAACAGAATTGTGGAGAATTACATGTCTCTTTGATTACTAATTACTTGTTGAGCTTTTGATTTTGGTGTCCTTGTTCAAATCCATCCCAGATCAATAATGCCTGAAAAACATGATGTTTTTCTAGTACTGAAGTAGACACCTTGGATTATTAGGTTGATGTATGGATGTCACAGAATCAGCTGTCACAGAACTAGAAACTAAAATGGCCCCGCACCTTGATGCTTATTACTCTAGGTCACAGAGGAAGAACAGACTGACAGTTGCATGGAGCACCCTAGCCTGCCACTGTTCTGCTTGACTTTTGTGAATAAATGTATTCTGGATTACTAATGCTAACAAAAGAAGTTGTTTGTTCACAGTTCTCACCGCCCCTGACACACGTGCCAAAACAAAAATAAAGTTCAGCAGCATGCTTACCAACAACAAAACCTAACTTCCTACACATAGATACCACTTTTAACAAATCATACAACCAGAAGCAACCCATGCAAGTAGATTTACCTTGTGATGTGTCCTGGAAGTCAGTAGATCAGAATTGGTTGGAGGAACTTGTTCTAAAGTTGAGGGGTCTCACAGAAGTACTCTGTTGTAAAGTTGTCGCTTTTCTTAAAAAATTGGGAGTGATCCAGGCCTAGTGCTTCCATTGACTGTAATTTAGGCTGTATGGCATGAGGAGATAATTTGTTTGTCAGATAGGCAGGTCCTGTAGTATTTAGGGCTTTTTGAGTCCAAATCAATACCATACATTTGATCTGAAAGCATTAGGCCAGTGTTTCCCAACAGGAGTGCCATGGCACACTGGTGTGCCATCAGGCGTGCCATGGCATTTTGGGCTGGAGCCACACCCCCCTGCCTGGCTGGAGCCATGTCCCTCACCTGCTGCTGCTGCAGGCACAGGCAGATGGGGAGTGGGGCTCCAGCCAGGCACGGGAAATGGCTCCAGCCCAAAATGCCATGTTTGGGCCCCGCCCCTGCCCCCCATCTGTGTTCAACTGGCTGCAGGGTCGTTGTCCGCCACACTGCCGCTGTGCCGCAACGCAGCGCGCGCCCCCCCCCCCCCCCCCGCCCCC